TATATATATATATATATATATATATATATATATATATATATATTAATAGAATCAGGCGTTACTTTGCGGAAATCCATTATATAAAAGATTTTACAAAAATTTACTTGGCAAATATCCGCGTTATAAAATAAAATGATGTGTCTTACCTAGTATGAAGAAGCACCTCCCGCCTTCCCTCAATTGCGTGCACTATCCCCGTCACCACTAATCCCAGCACCGCTACTCCCAACGGTTAGCGGTTAGCCACCGTAGAGTCTATATCACCTGAGGATGCCTCGTGTAGAGGCGAAACACGTGTCGTATTATCGTCAGTGGTGTGTCTTGCCTAGTGTAGTGGTGTTGGGAGTAGCGGTGCTGGGATTAGTGGTGACGGGGATAGTACACGCAATTGAGGGAGGGCGGGAGGTGCTTCTTCATACTAGGTAAGACACATCATTTTATTTTATAACGCGGATATTTGCGAAGTAAATTTTTGTAAAAGCTTTTATATATATATATCATATTGTATATATTTAGTGTAGGTTCATCAAATGCATCAATTAACCAACGCGTGCGTATGTACTTTGTATATAATAGCTTATTAATATTAACCATCATAATAAATTATTTTGAATGGACAATCGTAAAAACATCCGTTGTTTTGATCGCAGCTCTATATTTGCATATATTTTTTTTGGGAAAAACTTCATGTTTGTAATTTGAGAACGTTACAAAACATATTACTTTACACATTGCGCAATAAAACACTAATGCGTCATCTTTACTGCCTTTCATAAGTTCACAGCTGAACATAGGCCTCCTCCATATATTCCCTTATATTATAGGGGTAATTATTTGTCAATATTGACCCGCTTCCCAAGCGGGCAATTTTTAATATTTTACGTGGTATAATAATCGTGTTGTCTCCTGGTCATCGCTGTGCGATCGATAGAGAAAGGCATAAAGTATTTTTTCAATTCCTGTATCTACCATCACCAAGCTTTGTTGAAAAAGTGGGGTCTTCAAGGCGACAGAGACACTGGAAGCAGATGTCATTGCGGACGTACACACAGACTCTCCGTCAAGAAAAGTAGGTGCGGCTTCTCAGTCTCAAGATCGTGATGGACTTTGATGAGCGCTGAGATTAGAGTGTAATCCTCGAATATTAGTGTTTGTGCACTTTTAGCACTACTTTTCTTTTTAAGGTACATATTAAGTGTTGAGAGTGAATAAGGATGGAGAGTGGCAGTTGAAAGAAGCGTTACATTAGCAACCAAACGATACTATCAGAGTTACGGTGCCCAGAACCAGATCTGGAGACTGCGGGGACGCCCGAACCCCCCCTCCCATCCCCCAGAGATCGCCATCAGGTCCTCCCGCCCGGTCGCCAACCGGCACCACGGGACCACCCTGGGATTTTTCGCTAGTTGTGCGGAGCAGCCTTTCATGAGTAGCTAATTCACTAATTCGGCCCCCAACTATCTGCGGTCGGCCAGCGGAACACCGTGCTTCGGATCCCACTACCCTCCACAACCAAGCACCCGACACAGCAACAACTGACGCTTCGTACCCGGTTTACGTACACAACGCTACTGTTCAGACTCATTCTCTATAATATGGCTTCACCAAGCATCATGCCGGAACACGACAACGTCATTTGGTGACAAGACTTTTGCATTGGAGGGTGGTAACCGAAAAGCCAGCGGCCGAAACCTACCACCGGAATCACATTGAGTTATTCTTTTAAGAAATTCGAATTTCTTGAAAGAATAACTCTAATCTGATTTTTTTTGCCCAACCCAGGAATCGAAGCTGGGATCTCATAATCAGGTTCCGCGTTTACGACCATTAAACCAACGGGGCAGTTAAAAAAGCTAGTACCAAACAAAATACCCAGCAGTTCTATTGAAGTTTTTTAGGATTATGTTATACCTAAATGTGAAATTTAGTACGTTTATATACAAATATCTATCACGCTTATAGGCCTGAACGGGGTAAATAATTGGTAGAGACTAGAGATGTTGATGTCGTTGATTAAAATATAGGATTACACGTGTGATATTTAAACAAAATATCCTTGTATTTTAATACGGTAGTAAATTAACAAAATACAAATAAAGTCTACTATATTACATAGTGGAAAAGCTGAATAAACATAATATTATATCGTAGACAAGCTAAATTAATCTGCATAGATAACAGATATTTGATATCCAACAAGTGGAAATTTGATCGGTATGTTTTTGTTTACAAACGTGCTAATGTCATTTGTACGAGTACATAAAATTCAATTATACACTATTTGATCATATATTGACACCTTAATAAAAAAAAAGTAAAACTAAAACTAAAACCTTAAATGATTAGGGTTCCGTATCTCAAAATGAAAAAACGGAACCCTTATAGGATCACTTTGTTGTCCGTCTGTCTCTCTGTCCGTCTGTCAAGACACTTTTTCTCAGGAACGCGTGGAGGTATCAAGCTAAAATTCATATCAAATACTCAAGTATACTGTTCCTTGGAGCAGTGAAAAAATCAAACTTCTAAGCCAACGCAATCAAAAGATGCAGCCGTTTATGCCGCAAATTCGACATTCGCAAGGGAATCAAAACCTACAGGGTACTTCCCGTGAACTCAGAATCTTAAAATTTGGCACGAAGCAATGTATTATAGCACAGATAAAGGAAAAATTGCGAAAAGCATAAATTTTTAGTTACATCATATAATAAAAATATTTTTAATAATTTTAAACTTATATACCTACGGATTTGTTTGGAACCCTCGGTGCGCGAGTTCGACTCGCACATGGCCGGTTTTTCTTATTATAGTCCTGATCTCCGCGGTATAGTGCCAAGAACGTTGGCGGCGTTTCATCGCTGAATGGGCTATATTTGGCATTTGAGATTTTGAGCGAGAAGAAGAAGAACTAGCCCTCTTATCACCAGCACCGACGACAAGCCGCGGATACAGTTCCCTTAGGACCTTCGCCGCACGTTTAATAAAAGTGTCTAGCTAGATATTTTTTGATGTCAGTATACAATTTATTTATGCACAATGTCATAACTTGTACAAGTTATTAGGATCGATTCTTATTCAGTTAAATATCCGCATGAAATCACATAATAGGTATCATTCGTACACAATAAATAATAGGTATAACGCAAATTTTCTCCATTGCACCCTTGTATTTTACCCCATATCTTTATTTCTATAAAATATATGGTTTACACAATTTTATTTATAAAAAATACATATAAAGTCTTATCATTATGATATACATTACATCGTTATCTTATAAAATAAAAACATATTAAGATATTCAACAAAATATAAGTCCTATTTTACAGAACATTTTCAAAGTTAGAAATCTTAAATATCTAACACACATGGTTAAAATAACGATTTTTATTAATTAACATGAATATCTTAACTAATACAATAGTTTAATTCACAATTTAAAAGACATTTTACTCTTTAATTCAACTTTAATTTTCTTATTATAAATCTATTATTATTTCACTATATTAAGTACCTACCTTTTAACACAGCCCTGTTCTTATTAACACATAATTATAGTAAACCTGAAACATTTATTACTTATTTCTACATAAATGTTACTGAAATTTTCACAAATTAATAAAGTTTATTTTTTATTTTTATGGTACACTAGCTGTTTCCCGCGACTTTGTCCGCGTGTAATAATTTATTACGATTGGATTTCATGGGTTTTAGTTTTTTTTTTTGCGCAGAACCCTAATTATTTTTCTAAAATAAAAGTAGCCTAAGTTACTCCTTATAACATCAGCTATCTGCCAGTGGAAGTCCCGTCAAAATCGGTCCAGCCATTTCGGAGATTAGCCGGAACAAACAGACAGAAAAACAGACGGACAGACAGACAGACTAAAATTTAAAAAATTGTGTTTATGTTATAAGTACGGTATTATATACTTTAATATTTTTTTTTTATAAATATAATATAATATATATTAATTCATTTAGTAAAAAGCTGTTATTTTTACATTACAAACAGACACTTCAATTTTATTTATTTGTATCCTTTCTTTGTCTAATTTACAACTATCTCTGTTCATTATGAAACATTATTTGTTTACACATGCTATTCTTATCTAGCCATAATGAATCTTATCTCTTATCACAAAAGCAAAATATATTTTCATCTAAAATAAGTATCTAATCTATACAAATAAATAAAATTGAAGTGTCTGTTTGTAATTTCATAATAAGAGCTTTTTACTAAATGCATATGAAAATATATACTTACGGACTTACGGTACTTATAACAAAAACACAATGTTTAAAATTTTTGTCTGTCTGTCTGTCTGTTTGTTCCGGCTAATCTTCGAAACGGCTGGACCGATTTCGACGGGACTTTCACTGGAAAATAGCTGATGCTATAAGGAGTAACTTAGGCTACTTATATTTTAGAAAAATAATTAGGGTTCTGCGCAACATAATTAGAACCTTAAGTTATACGCGAGCGAAGTCGCGGGGAACAGCTAGTTTAAACATAAAACCCTTATTCGTATTGCATAGCCGATTACTATGTAACACATGACTCTAAATTAATCTGTAAACAAACTTTCATGGTAATTCCACTCTCGACCGGGGAATCGAACCCCGAACTTTCGTTCGACATTATATTGAATCTATTTACTTTTAACATAGGTAGATTATCTTTTTATTCGGAGTGCCTTATATAATTTAATAGCAATAACTTCAAAACACAAAATTATTTATTTTTTATGAAATGAAAAATGACAAACTATTTTTTAAGCGCGTCGGCTACAATCATATTATTGGAAAATCTATTGAAAATAATTTATGGTGTGAAATATTTTTATTAATAAGGCTTATAATATCAAGTTATTATACGATGTTGTAATAAAAAAGGAGATCGATGCTACTTTCTTCTCTTCTCTCTCTAGATCTTTTTGAACTTTTGCCCTTTATTATTCTAAAATGATTTTCGTTGCTATAAATAAAGTTATTTTTTGTTTTAGATGAACCAGGCAACACATTTTCTTGACGGTTCTCTTATCTACGGAACAAACAGCCGAGACGCGGCAGCGTTACGAGAGAAGACCGGCGGTCTTCTCAAGGCCTCATACATTGACAATGAAGAATATATGCCCCTCTCTGCTTCTCCTTTAGAAAAATGCTTAGTGGAGAGCAATTCAGACGCTTGCTTTAACGCTGGTAAGTTTCATTCTATTTATAATATCTATACAAATAAATAAAATTGAAGTGTCTGTTTGTAATGTCAAAATTACAGTTTTTTTACTAAATGCATATGAAAGTAAATACGATACTTATAACTGAAATACAATTTTTAAAATTTTTGTCTGTCTGTCTGTTTGTTCCGGCTAATCTCCGAAACGGCTGGACCGATTTGGACGGGACTTTCACTGGCAGATAGCTGATTTCACAAGGAGTAACTTAGGCTACTTTTATTTTAGAAAAGTAATTAGGGTTCCACGCAAAAACATAAAACCCTAACACGCGAGCGAAGTCGCGGGGAACAGCTACTTAGAATAATACAATGGAAAACATGGTGTAAGTCTTAGGCGTTGGTTTGTGACAAATTTTGTTCATAATATGTTAAGTTTGAAATTACAACTTATAGAACAACATAATAAAAAATTATATTTTGTGAAACATTTTTCTTGTAATTTAATTTTTACTCATTATTCACAGGATATTTTGATATAGGATAGGGTGACAAAGGAGCACACAATCCACCTGATGGTAAGTGGATACGGTGGCCCATAGATATCTACATTTGTTCTCAACGAGCTGTCCCTCGCGACTTCGCGAGGAATTTACTACGATTTCATGGGTTTTAATATTTTTGCGCGGAACTCTAATTCTTTTTCTAAAATAAAAGTAGCCTAAGCTACTCTTTGTGAAATCAGCCATCTGCCAGTGAAAGTCCCGTCATAATCGGTCTAGCCGTTTCGGAGATTAACCGGAACAAACAGACAGACAGACAAAAATTAAAAAAAAGTTTTTTTTTGTTATTAGTACCGTATATACTTCTATATGCAATTATTAAAAAACTGTTATTTTAACATTACAAACAGACACTTCAATTTTATTTATTTGTATAGATTAAGAATCAAAATGCAAATGCGTTATCATCCCTGAGTACTGAGATGGAATGACTCGTTTCCAGTAAAAAATGGTCTCCGGTTCTTTATACTCACCATACGAAACACAGCAGCATTAAGCTGCTATTTCACGCTGTTATTCTGTGAGAGCGTGGTGCTTTCCCGGTCGAGCCGACCCATTCGTGCTACAACCATAATAAAACTGCAGCATGGCTCTACCACGTCACAATAACATAAACGAATTTAATATGACAGTTGTATGAATAAAATGGTTCAATTGTTAACTTTTATATTCAGTCAGTTTATAATTTAATCAATGGATATCTTTTATCTGATTATTGAAACATCTGCTCTAGGACGATATTTTAACGAGAGATTGCTGTTTTTTAGGTGTATTTATTTTAATATAATATATTCATAAATGCACATTAAAATAAAGTTTGTTTTATTGTTAAACAGGCGATGTTCGGTCAAACATGCATCCATGGCTTACTGGACTCCACTCACTATGGCTGAGGGAACACAACCGAGTCGCGCGTGCCCTTTCTGCTCTCAACCCAGATTGGAACTCCGATCGCGTGTATCACGAGGCTAGGAAGATTGTGGTCGCTGAACTGCAACATATCACTTTCAAACAGTGGCTGCCTGCTCTCACAGGTAATTTTTAGCAAAAATTAGAAATAAGTAAATTGTTAAGTCGTTTTGCTTTTAGTATATAATTAGGTCCGTATATCATTATTTTATATTTTTTATACATATGTACATATTTTATACCATTGTTATCTATACACTTTTGCCTTTTGAAAGGTAGTTCATTGATTCCTTTGCTGAAAAAATTGTACCAGCGACAATCAACAAAATATTTGAAGACGGTTTTGACTGCCTCATCAGAATTTAATCTTTTCCTTGCGAGAAATTGTCCAAATTCCGGAAAAAGTGTTAATCGGTTGGAGCAAGGTCTGAGGAGTATCGTGGGTGCCGGAGGCATTTTCAATCACTGCTCCTCTATTTAGCGACCGTCTGTTGTGCAGTGTGTGGTCTAGCGTTGTCCTGGGCTACAGCAATTGATCAATCGCGTTTGTTTAACGCCTTGCTTTTCCATCATGGTTTGCAATTGTTGGCAATACAGATCTGCCGTAATCGTCGGGCCAGATTTTAGGAAGCTGCAGTGGATGACACTATCACTGGTCCACCAGACACTTATTGGTACCTTTTTCTGAGTCAACTTTCGCTTGGGGCAGGATTTGGCTGGTTCTTCTGGATTTTTCGCTTTTTGCATGCCCATTGTCAACTAGGGTCTCAGGCCGTCCACGGCAATGGACGTTGTAGAGTCTACAACGTCCATTGCCGTTTCACTATATTTTGTATAAATAATATACCGCCACTGTTTCACTATATTTTGTATAAATAATATACATTAATTTAGTACTAATAAACAGGGTTGTTTTACAATAAACGGCCAAATTTGCGGAGAAGGTTCAGAACAATATAGGCAAATGGTGAAGAAAAATCAATTGAAAAAAATCTCAAACATTCTGTATTGTTTTCGTATTTTCAAAAATTGCAATCACGATATATCATGAACTTAAGTTTAAAAGTTTGGCTACTCTGAAAATAACCCTGTGTATATCCATTCATTTAGTACTATTTAGTAATATTGCTTTTGTCTTTTAGGCAAAGCTTTTAATGAACTGTATGACGGGTACGACACTGCCTACAACTCGGACATCGATCCTACTGTCACCAACGCCTTTGCAACGGCTGTTTTTCACTTCGTCAACAGTATTCTTGATCAAGACATTGAATTGGTGGACGAGGATAACAATGTGTCGTCTTTAGAGAGACTAAAGCACAACTACTTCAAGCCAGAGATCGTTACAAAAAAGGGTGGCCTTGAAAAACTTCTGCGGGGAATGGTCAGCCAGAAAAGCCAGGACCTGGACTTGAATTATGATGATGATGTAAGTTGTTAATTAATTATTGTATACCTTGTATTTTATCGTTTTCTTATATTATAAAGTTTTATCACAATCTAATGAACGGCGTGGCTGCGTATAAAATATGAACAAACAAAAAAAATTATAGGATAGGGTGACAAACGAGTTCACAGTCCACCTGATGGTAAGTGGATGCTGTGGCCCATAGACAACTACATTTATCCTCAATTAAGAATCCAAATGCAGATGTGTTGTCACCCCTGAGGACTAAGATGGAATGTCTCGTTTCTAGTAAAAAGGGTCTCCGGTTCTCTACACACACCATACGAAACACAGCAGCATTAAGCTGCTATTTTACGCTGGTATTCTGTGAGAGGGTGGTTCTACCCCTGTCGAGCCAACCCATTCGTGTTACAACCATAATATAGCTGCAGAGTGGCTTTACCATGTGAATTTTTTTATATTTTAGATGTTTGAACTTTAATGAATGTATTAAATATTGTTGATCCAAGTATATGAAATATAGACGATTGAATCGTTTAGTAATTACACGACTGCACTGTCCTGTAGGTAATTTGTTTACCTGTTCTTCTGTATTATACAAACATATTTAAATGTTTTTTTTTCGCGATTGTTTTTCACTTATAATTCCATTGTCTATTTATTTCCAACATTTATAGCTCAACTTGCATTACTCCATGTCAATTAATATAATCCAAACAAGGTGACTGCGTACTTTCGACCTCCGCCTCTGTTTTAATGCTTTTATGCAAATGGTTTTTATTATGGATAATCATCGATAATTGATCTGCGTTTTATATTTAAAGTAGGTACGTAGTTGATTTATAGTGCATACCCAAGTAAACAGCTTCTTCTATATTACGTGTCTGATGTCACGTTAACTCTAAAGTTACTACTTCTATTATGTATGTTTATATTGTTTGTTTGTAGTACCGACGTCTTTGTAATATATTTGCGTCGTAAATTTTATGTCCGCGATAAAGGGCACATATTGAGTTTCAAAGCAATTAAGGATATCGATCACTTACGCAACTGGTGATATCTGATGTTCTTCATAGTCTGTATGTTGTTCTAATGAATTAAGGCATAGTAAATATCTATGTCTCTATCTATAATATTGTTACTTATAACTCTCTAATGTAGGATTTCCCCAACCTTTTAACAAGCTGTTTTATTATTACAAACTTTTATTTAACTTGCAATGTTTGCATGCTTGTTTTTTTATGTCAAATCTTGCAAGTTGCAACTGTATTTTAAAACACTTATCCCTGACCGACTGAGCCGAAATTTTACATACTTACACGTCATTCTAAATCCAAAATGGCGGACTCTCAAAGATGGTGGACTAGTAATTTTTCATGCACCGCCATGATATGGGTATCAATTAAAAGCGTTTGCTGAGAAGAATACGAAAAATAAAATGACGTCGCACTAAATTAAATATGGCGGACGCTCCATGATAGTGGACAAAATTTTCTTACCTCTTCTTATCTTATGAGTGTACTCATGATATGGGAATCAAATGAAAGGTAAAACTAAAACAAAACTAAAAATAAAATCACATCACTCTAAATTCAATATGGTGGATGGATAAGGTATCTGACAAAATTTTCTTATCTACCAACATTTTAAAATTTTCTTAACTACAAAATTTTATTATCTGAAATTGGTATTAAATAAAAGAGTTTGTTGAGAAGAACAATGAAACAATGAGGCATCAAATGAAATGAACATATTTAGAAACATATCCAGCGAAAACTAAAAAATAAACTTGAAGTAAAATAACCTTCTTACAAAGAAGCTTTTTTAAATGCTCTAAAAAAAGAAAAAAATCTTGAAATTAAATCAAACTCATCAATTTATTACATTGTACAATTTATATAATATTAAAACTTGTTGCGAGATTCTTTATTACGATATATAAGATATTGTGATATTTACATACCAAAAAATTTAATCCGGCGCTGCATATCACATACAAAACTATTTTATTTCTGTAATCATTGTTCAGAAAGTAAAAGAGACGTTTTTCTTTCAGCTCCGCCAACATTGGCTGGGTGGTTTGGATGTACTGGCAGTCGACATACAACGAGGCAGAGACCATGGATTGCCTGGATATGTGCAGTACAGAGGCTTGTGCGGTCTATCCCCAGCAACCACCTTCCAGCAGCTGACTGATGTCATTCCACAGGAGGTATGTCAAACATTTATTTTATAATAGAAAACATTTCTGTCACAGATTATTTCGTTTCAACCGTATTAATTCATTATTTGTTCAATACAGTCCATACAAAGTCCACCGCTGAACATAGGCCTCCCCATAGATTGCTAAATAGGCTAATATTTGCCATAGTTGCAGGCTTGGCAGGCGGTTAGACAAGTCGTCGCCGATCTGGGTATTTTATATCTAGTATATATGAGACTGTTGTATCGACATGTATTTCTCTTAGTTCACTTTTACAATTTTTTTCATTTTAGTTTAAAAGATATACGTTATTCGTATATAATATACCTATATACATTAGGATTTCCTCCTGTGTCGTAGAGGCAGTTTACATACATAAATTTCACACGGACAAATATCTAGACCAGGAATAATTATTTGTAGGAAATACAAATACTTGTTCCGTGCGGGGTTCCAACCCGCGGCCCCCGGCGCAGCAATACATTACTAAGCCACTGCGCCACGGAGCCGCCCCGCCGTCCGTCTTTTGCAATTGATTTATAAACAGATAAATAGCATATTACTTCAGTATAGAAACGGACTGATAAGGTGCAGGAAGAGGATAATACTAATAGCCTATTAGTTACATTTTTAAATGCAGTGTAAAAAGCAAATCTTTTTTTATTGGATAAGGGTGACAAACGAGCACACAGTCCACCTGATGGTAAGTGGTTGCTGTGGCCCATAGACATTTATCCTCGATTAGGAATCAAAATGCAGATGCGTTGTCACCCGTGAGGACTAAGATGGAATGCCTCGGTTTCCAGTAAAAAGTGTCTCCGGTTCTCACCATACGAAACACATCAGCATTAAGCTGCTATTTTACGCTGGTATTCTGTGAGAGTGTGGTCCTTCCCCGGTCGAGCCGACCCATTCCTGTTACAACTATACCATAAATATAGCTGTAGCATGGCTCTACCACGTTTAGATTTAATATATTTTGTTTACAGACTGTGGATAAGCTGTCGACCTTGTACGATCATATTAACGACGTAGACCTGGTCGTGGGCATGATGGCTGAACGACCACTACCTGGATCGCTGTTAGGACCTACTGCAACTTGCTTACTCAGTACGTATCTACTATACATTTCGAAGTCAAAGTCAACATTTTAATTCAATATGGGCTTGTTTAAAGTTCCTTTGCACGACAAAATGTAGATTTTGTTTGATGATTGATGTAGATCAATTCGGAAAATAAGACCTCAGGAAAGAACCGGCAAGTAACTCCGTGGTCTTTATTAACCGCCGACGAAACAGAAGGGTGATTTAGATTAAGTTTTTTTTTGTTTGAATGGTGACTTGATCGAGAGTGTTCATAGCTATGATTCAAGAAAATCTTTTCAGCCGTTCGAATATCATCAGTTCTTTTTGTTTTTTTTTTTAATTTTTTATTCAAATATTTTTTATTAAAAATAAAAACGCAGTAGCTATTATTCATACATAAAACCAAAAGGAATGCCACTAAGTACAGTTTAACTTGATCGTGAATATATTTTTATATACTTAGGTTTTGCATTGAACTGTACCTACCGTGGAAAAATATACAAGAAGGTACCACTCGGGTCTGTCCGTCTGTCTGTCGCAGACGGTTTTCCTTAAAACTACTTGACTTAGTTATCTGATACAAGTAAAGGTGGAAATTGAGGAGAGGGGAAAGGGATGTGACAAATAATCAAGGACATTTAGGGAGTCGGGCGAAAGTTTATTGTATCATTAGTATAATTTTAAGCAAAAAAGTTTAGAGCATTAAAATTTACGGGAATATTAATCCACAATAATTAGGCTTGAAATATTCTATTAAAAGATAAGCCAATTGTACAATCAAAGCTTGCACTTGCCCGATTTTTATTATTTATATTTTTATTTATATTGTACCCGGCGCGTTGCTGCCGCGGAAAAAATAATTATGGAAATATCGTTTTAAATTTGGAAGGGTTATATTGTTTAATTAGGAATGATAATACGTTCATTGAAGTTGAATGACATATAATATAACTTTCAAATTTTAAAAAAATTTAAAAAAAACGCGCGCCAAACACTGTAAGTTAATTGTACTATGCCTATAATCTTCGCTCAAGTGCAAGCAGTTGTAAAGTTTTACAGTAATCTAATGAACGGTATGGCAGCGCACAAAATACGAAAAAACATTAATTTATATATATGAGATTATAACCGTGTTATTATTTGTTCTTCAACAGAGGAACAACTATGGCGTACTCGTTCTGGTGATCGTTACTTCTACACCCACACTGACGAAGCGGGCGGCTTCAGCAAGCGACAATTAGCCGAGTTGAGACGCGCTTCTCTTGCTCGGCTGCTGTGCGACAACGTTGGTATCAAGCATGTGCAGAAAGATGTTTTCCAACTGCCTTCTGAAAGGTATCCTTATTATATTATTATATTTCTATTTCGCTATGATGACAAATATTATTATTAATTTATCCGTGTAATTACGGTGTAAGAATGCCCACTAACCCATTTCGACCCGTAGGTGTCGTAAAAGACGATAGAGGGAAACAAACTAAGAGATGGGCAGTCCCTAATAAGAACTAAAAAAAAAAATATCGCCTAGTAAAAAACTTTTTTACTACACTAGTTAATAGGCCTCCTTTGATTAAGAGTTTGTCTGTGTTATTTTTTTTAAAACCACCCCGGGCTAGGATTTTCTTCTGTATCGTGGAGGAGTTTACATACATAAATTTCACAAGGACAAACATTCAGACCCGGAAAAATTTAACTTGTAGGCCATACAACTATATTTATATTGGATAGGGTGACAAATGAGCACACAGTCCATCTAATGGTAAGTGACTGCTGTGGCCCATAGACAACTACATCTGTCCTTGTTTACGAATCGTTGTCAGCCGTGAGGACTGTGATGGAATGTCTCTTTTCCAGTAAAAAGGGTCTCCGGTACTCTACACTCACCATACGAAACACAGCAGCATTAAGCTGCTATTTTACGCTACTGTTTTATGAGAGCATGGTCCTTCCCCAGTCGAGCCGACCCATTCGTGCTACAACTATACTACTAATATAGCTGCTCTGCTAATCATGGCTCTACCATGTGGTTTGTTCCGTGTGGGATTAGAACCCGCGGCCCGTAGCACTGCAACTCCTTGTTTAGTCACTGCGACACGGAGCCGTAAAATTCATTCATTCATTACACTCTATAAAAGTGCACTGCTAAAGATAATTATTGGTTGGCAACCGCAGTTACTAATTTGAATTTGAAGTATGGAAGACGTCACATCTCCTGGTTTGTTTCCCTTTATCGCCTCTTAAGACACCCACGGAATGATATGGATAGGGTAGGGATTGTCTTTCGCCGCTACTATACGGCAAATTGCAATTAACAATTTTATTGGTACCTAACCCGGTTTGCATTACCACGGCTCCTCTATTTATAGCGTACTTGTTTATTTTATTGTTTAATATTGTTTTTTTTTTATTTATTTATAGTAATCCAGTCGTATCCTGCGAGGTTATAAAGAAGGTAAATTTGGAAGCATGGCAGGACCCTTCCCAGCTGCCGGATATTTTGACACGCACCAATATGTGGATTAAGAACAAAGTGGGGAGTGTCGGTAACTCCACCAAATAACGTAATTTCTCATTGTGCTTAAGTTCTATATTTATGTTTGATTTCTACGAACTGTTTTCAAGTAGTCCATCATGCAAATTACATTTTACAAGATTTGCATAGGTTATGAACTTGCACAAATTTACTTTGTAGCATTGTGATTCCTAATCGTGTGTAGGCTTTGATTATTTTCAATTCATAATAAAAACATAATGGGGATTATTATAAGTGTGTGATGATAAAAATACACACTGAACAAATCGAAGAAGTGAAAATAACATTTATTCCAGTTTGCATTATGGACTACGTTTGAGTGATACAGTATTGCGTTTGATTTTGTGAAATTTAGTGTTAGGTTTTAACAACGTTGCTCCAACGGAATCTATGGGAGCTTCTGTCCGTGCGGCAATAGCGTTGTGTGGACACCATGTTGTACAGTGGCTGTGATATGTCAACGTGGAGCCAAGTTCACACTTTTTACGTAATTATTTTTTCTTTTGGTTCCAAAGATCCATATGTTAAAAGATCCAGGGACCGATATTTTGATTAACTGTATGACTGAAATGAACTTGATAATTGAAAGTGAGAAAAAAGAGATTGTGCTTAAAGTATTCAGTAGTTTTAAAATTTATAAATGTTGTCGTCTCAATGAATTTTTTTAATTAACGTTTATATCAAGAATTCATCCAGCTTTTTTATTCACATTTATAGTCAGATAAGGCCATGTGAATTCTGAATTTAATAATTTTATAGCAATCTAAAGCTACGGGCTTCTGTATTTTCTTTAATTACCCTGAGTACTTACTTCTAAATAACGGTAAAATTGTAACAATTGTAAAATTGAAATAACGATAAAATTGTCAATAAAAATTAACTTAAAGCATAGTGTACTTAGGTGCTATAATTATATTGACACCAAAATGTCCTAAGGGCATGTGCATATTAGTAATTTTTAATTGGTAACATTTAGGTAGTGAAATATAATTAAAATATTTCACAACTACGGAGAGATGTTTAAGATATTTGCCTAAAACATTCACTAATTTTAACTTACATGCCTTATTTAACTTTTCTTTTATGATCATTGTTTTTTATACGAAAACTGTCGCATTTCTTTTTAGGTCTGATAATGTTAAGAAATGGGCACAAGTTAATTAATGTCGACACCTTTTATAATAACGGTTTTGTCAACTCGCAGGTGTGTGCTATCAATACCAAAGACTGTATTGCAAATTGTAGCGATTCGCATTTACTTTGTTTTGAGCTAGATTATGTGATTGAGATGCAATATTAAACAAATATTAACTAAATCTGCTTCTACGATGCATAGTCCTATGAAATAAGTTGAAAGCACGACACACCATATTATATGGGATCAGTTATTTTATACGTACTTTCATTCAAGCATCTATACATCTTGAAGAGAAGTTGAAAGAATTTGCCCACACCAAGCTTTAAATGGCGGAGCTAAATTGTGAAAGCAATAATTTACTTTCTTTGCAATAGAGTTGGGACTAAAAACGCAAATTTGATTTTTCTATAAGTCTTTCCATTTCTTTAAATGTTCTTGCGTATTTTTCTTAACAAAATCATTTAGTATTATAACTAACGCACAGGTCAATTGATTTGTGTTCATTACAAAGCATTTATGTACCAATGCCGATGATTAATTGTTCATTCTTTTTAAATTGGTTTTGAGAATAAATCTAAATTATATTTTTTACATGTAACTGGCCATGTTTTATAAGTCTGAGAGTGTGTAATTAAAAAAAAAAACATAATATTCTATATTTAATTATTTTTATATAGAATTGCTGGTTTAAATACTTGATTGCACTTTAGAAATTGTTTATTTATACAATAGTCTTTTAAGTCAGAAATGTTTTAAAACTTCAAGAAATTTATATGTAATTACAATTAAAAAGCCAAAATTTACTGGTACCGTCAATCACCAATTAATGTGTTCTGTGATTAAAAAAAATATTTTATCATTTACACTGAAATCTTTCTGCTGATTATTATTAGGGTAATATTATGTTAAATTAAGTTTTGTTTTTACACGTCAATAAATTTATTTATCAATTAAATTCTTGTTATTCTTTTTATATTAAAAATCCCTGTTGTGTGTAATTTCAAAGTTAAGCCACCGTAAAACTTCGAGTCCGGATATAGTTTAAAAAGGGCGCTACCTGTGCAGTCACCGGCTTCACCCCCCAGTGGGTGCGGGGGGGAATTCCGATTTAAACGTGCACCCTTTGTGTTAAAAATACAAAACTACCCATCAAAAAATACCAGCGACAGTAGGTTGAGGTTGAGAAGCCATAATTTAAAAGAAGAAGAAGGTTGAGGTGCAGTTATAAAAGTTAAAAATGTATAAATTAGTAATGGAGTCAGGCAGAAAGTGTGTGCCGGACGGGCGTAACTCTCCGGAGTAAATGTTGTCGGAGATACCCCGCGAGTCGCTCACGTCCTACACCTGTAGGTTCCAGACTCCTCCAACTGCCGTCTTTCACTGCCGTCTCTTTGGTTGCAGCGGATAAACTGTGGACTGAGGTTCAAAATTAAAATGCACGATTTGTAAATTAAAATAGCAAGGGAGTGGCCAGCGGATCGACTAATTAATTTGTCGCGAGATTTTACACTGTTATTTATTTATCACTATTTTTCAACTATGATTGTTCACTATATATTTTAAAACACAGATTTAATTAAACACACAGTAATACTAAAATTTCTATTGGTTTTCTAAAATTTCTATTCGTATTTTTAAAATATCTGTTGGTAATATCAAATTTCTATTGGCAGTAACAAGTTTCTATTGGTATTCTCTACAATTTCTATTGGTAATTTTAAATATCTATTGAAAGTAACAAATTTCTATTGGTAGTATCCAAAATTTCTATTGGTAGCAGCTGGTTTTCTAACACTACTGACTAGCAGCTATTAATCAACTAAAATTAGTTGAATTTAAACACTTTTGTAACTGCGAATATCAGTTACCACTTTTTCCGTCTAGCTAACACTTTTCACGAAATGTAACGGCGAAATTTCCGTTACCACTTTTTTCAGCTAGCCAACACTTTTTCACTATATGTAACTGCGAATATCAGTTACCACTATTTTTGGCTAGCTGACACTATTTTTCTATGTGCAACTGAGAATTTTCAGTTGCCACTTTTTCCGACTATGTGTAACTGCGATTTTTCAGTTACGACCTTTTTCGGCTAGCTAAACTTTTCTATTTCACTTTAACTTTTCACTGTGTTCTGCTACTAGTCACTTCAGCTACTACCGGATACTGCTGCTTGTTACTGGTAGTTCTTCCTACTACAATGTTACTATGATTTGCCCCCATAAGGTAGACTTCGGCTATACTCTATAGAGAGCCGCTTGTCAATTCCCATTTGCCTCTTTATTTTCAATCATTTTTCTTTATGCAAATGGCACAAATTGCAACTTTTCTATATAATACAAATCTTAACTCTAACATGCTATACATCATTAAATAGACATTTTTGTTCTACATTAGTATGCGATAAAGGATAATTAATATATTTACATTTAACAAAGTTATTCATTGAAATGTCCTAAACTTTTACACTAATTGGTCATATTAATTCTTTAATTATCCTATAACTTTTAAATCGTGCTTAATTATACAAAATATTTCTTTATTATAACGATCTATACATCATATGCTAACTAAATACCATATTTACAACTCTTTTCAGACATAAAATTATTCTCATTAATTTTTTGCTTAAAACTATTACGCAGTTAATTTAAATTTCCAGAAAGTTCTATAGCGCGGCGCGCTGTGATTGGTCGATATTTTCTTAAACAAAATAAAGTTGTTTATATTAACTATTGTCAAATCGACCTTCTATACAAACATATTGAGAGTTGTAAATACATGGTAAAACTATATTTAATACATTATTTAGTCAATTTTTCCGTATTTTCATTTTTTAAACAAATAAATATTCCTTAATCACTTTCTCGTTTAAAGTCATTTTTGCCGTTGTGAACAGTCATTTTGGCCGTCTCGAACATTTCTCCCGCCGTGCAGCGTCGCGAAGACCCGTCGCAGCGGCGCTGCATAATTTCGGTGAGAGACGTTGCCTCTACTTCGGCAGCGGCACGAGTTTTCTGGTTGGCCTCTTGATTAGTCCATTCGCTGTGCGTACCTCCACAGTGCGGATCTGTCCGTCCGCCCCGGGGTATATGTTTTCAATCCTTCCTCGTGGCCAGGTGTTACGAGGTAACTGGTTGTCAGCTATGAGGACTGGATCGCCCACCTGGAGATCGGGGCCTTGACCGTGGGCCTCCCGCCGGTTTTGAAGTTCCGGCAGATATTCTTTGACCCAACGCTGCCAGAACATGTCAGCGAGTATCTGGGAGCGTCGCCAGTGTTTTTTGCTGTTCGCATCTTTTTCACTAAAAACTCCAGGTGTTGGCAGTCTCGCAGATCCTCCCAATAGGAAGTGATTTGGAGTGATGGACTCGTTGTCTTTGCTGTCTACTGAGATGTGAGTCAATGGTCTGCTGTTTACTGTATATTCCACCTCGCAGAGCAGCGTGGTCAAGACATCTTCGTGCGGATGTCTCTCATGAAGGACGGTGTATAGTGCCGTCTTCACGCATCGAACAAGCCGTTCCCACACCCCTCCCATGAAAGGCGCGGAGGGGGTTATAAATCACCAGACTATGCCTCGTCGGCTGGCTTCTTCTCGGAAGGCCTCTCGAAGCTCCTTGTCGGCACCGTGCATATTGGTGCCGTTGTCCGAGTAAATCTCGGTGGGACATCCTCGGCGCGCTGCGAATCCTCTTAATGCCAGTATGGCAGAGTCTGCGCTGAGATCTTTCACAATTTCCAAATGTACAGCTCGTGATGTAAGGCAGGTGAAGAGCGCCACGTATCTCTTCTGATGCTGACGTCCCACTGTTACGGAGAGTGGCCCAAAATAATCCAGGCCGGTGAACGTGAACGGTCTCTGGTGATGTGCGAGACGCGTGCTGGG